TGTTCTCTAAAACAAAACATTGATTAGAAAGTTGTTTATGATTTTTCTTATGTTGATTATTTCTACAACGGTAATTAAAATTCTAATAAAGAAAATTCAAGATTATAACGTTCAGATTTGAACATTCTTTTTATTCTAATGTAAATAATTTATTTTTTATGCGCAGTGATTTAAAATTATTTTTGTTTTCATATATAATTACCATTTTTTCGCTTGTACTACCCGTTACACGTTACCGTGTATATTTATTATGTGTTTATATATTTTTTTCATATTTATATGATCAAATTTTTCATACGTACTCGCGTGTATTAATATAGTCTATCATCGGGGATAATAAGCATCTGTAGTTTGTCGCATGGGCGTTACATTGCTAGGTGGTGTTTGAGAACTTATCTATTGAATTTTTTATTTTTAACAATAAATTTGATATTTTATTCTTATTTTTTTTTTGTCAATTAATCAAACGTTTAGAAAGAGAACCTCTTTAATCGTTTTATTTACAAATTCATACAGAAACAAATTTTTCGTAGAAATTTAAACGAATGTTTCTTGCCGCGTAATGATTTCGTATTAATCGTTTCGATAGGTTTCAATGGTGAATTTCGATTAAAATTTAAACACGATTGATCGTTCATGTTATCTTGTATCTCAATTAATCGATTACCATGTCGTAAAGTATCAGAGAAACCTGTTTTTTTCCAAGACATTTTAAAAATTTTAGATACTTTGTCGATACCATCGAATTTCTTGATAATCTTGCAAATGGCCGCTATATTGTTACCGAAATTTGAATCTAATCTAACATTATTTGCTGCAATATTTGTATAAATAATGACTTCCTTAATAGAAGAAAGAATTTCGTCGGTTTCCTGTTGTTCGTTAGTAATAAAAGGTGATTTCTCTACTTTACGTAAAATAAAATATCTTGGTTTATCATTCGAGTAACAACCGATAGACGACGATATACTTTGATCATCCAAAATGCAATAACCCAAACGTTTCAATATTTTTTCCAAAATGTCCAATTTGTATTTATTTTTTTTTATTAAAATATCGTTACTTTTTTCTTTTTCATTTTGATTTTCCCGACATATGAGTATTCCATGATTCTTTCCTAATTTTTCCATTTGAACTTGCACATCCGATGTCTGCGGACAGGAGTGTATGGTGAATTCCATGACTAATACAAAAATATTCAAAATTATATACAGAAAATATCATAACTCACTGTATTTACCTGGCGATAAATTTGATTTCCTTTTATATTCGGACAAAATATTCTTTTCATTTTGATCTTTTATATTTTTATTAACGTTTACTGATTTACAATTATTTATTTTTTGTTTCTCTGATTTCTTAGAATCTCGTTTATTCGGAATATTATTAACAATCTTTTCGGATATCGTTGAGACATTAGATGTTTTTTTATTATTCAATGTTGATTTCGAATGAAATGATTGCAAATTTGTTGCACGAGTTTTAACAGAATTTTCTAATATTTTCGGAAGATCCTTATTATTGTTGTTGTTACGATGACATTTTACGGAAGAATCATTGACAGTAATATTTAACGATGTTCTCTTAGAAACATTGACATTTTTTAATGATTCTTTCATTTGAATATTGTTCATATTCATTGTCGATGAACGAATTTCTTTGCAACTTTTTATGCGATTATGTTTTCTAACATTTGATTGCTCATTTAGTCCAGGAAATGTTAAAAGAGATGGAAAACGTATCGTTGATGATGATTTTCTTTTTAAATTATTAACTTCTAAAGGTTTTTCTATGTTAGTACGATTTTTATTAGTTGCATTTGGTAATAAATTTCGAAGTTCTTTCTGTAATTTTTCGATTTCTTGAATACGCGTCAATATGTCGGATATTTCATTTTCGTTCATTATTATTTTACGATTAAAATATAGTATATTTTCTAATTATATTGTTTACTTGTTCGAATAGAAAAATTTGTCAAAAAAGTAACCTGCAAATTTGCCGATTATTCGCCTAAAAATCCATATTTAATTTTGAATACATTTTTTTTTATTTCTCAACGGCGTATGTATTATCGACTAATTTCAGTCGAATCAAATTGAATATTATAATTTAATTAATAATGTATTATATATATATATATATATATTATTGATATATATATATCAAGATATATATATATATATATATTATTGATATATATATATCAAGATATATATATATATATATATTGATTAAAAATAAACAATAATAAACAAAAATATACTCTAATAAATATTTAATATAAATATAAAGTAAAAATGAATATAACCCTTATCGGTAGTCAGATTTATACGCGTGATTTTCACTAGGTGGTTGTATCTTGTTACTGTAAATATGCAACCTAAATTTAAATAGTGTAAGAATAACATTATTATTAGAAATTATTTATTTCTTGAAAGAGTATTACAAATGTATGACATTAACAATTATAATAATAATTATTAATTACTAATTAATTAATTGTCCATAATGAAAAAGTTTGGTTGTCACATGAGAGATGACTTACGACCGATAAGGGATAATAATATCACTGTAATAAGGAATAATATAATAATGAATAAAAGTCAATCGTTTCTTATGAAAAAGTACTTGCAAGATGTCAACACGTGAACTGTAATAAATTTGATTAATATTATTCATTATTTACCATGGAAAACCAAATTTTATTTACTGAAATATCTGGCAATGAGAAAGAAAACATATACGTTAGTTCAAAAGGTGAATTACTTTTTTTTTTTTTATGAAACATATTTTTAATAAATAACACTCATATAATATATTTCTCTAATACAATTGAGGTTAGATCACACATCAATAGTTAATTTAAATACTGGATCAAAAAGTAAAAAGCCGATATTATCTGGAACCTTGTCTTTTATCAAAGACGTGTTTTTACCTCAAGGATTTCCTGATAGTGTTCATCCTGATTACATTCATTATCAAATATGGGATACTGTACAGGTTAGAATACCAGCGAACACTCTATTTGTCGTTTCATGTTAAAAAGGAAAAGTAAATTGTATATTAATAATTGTTATAATGTAATAGGCATTTGCAAGTACCATAATGGGTACTCTCACGACTCATTCGATTATGCAAGCAGTAGGTGTTGGAGAATCTACTGCAACACCTTTAGCTGCAGCAATAACTTGGATTTTAAAAGATGGAACTGGTATGGTTGGGCGCATAGTTTTTGCATGGTGGAATGGGTAAACTTTATAAAATTACTATTTAAACTATTCACATAAAAATTGTTAATAAGTTTTATCTCGCAATCAATATAAACATTACAAATCTTAAATATTATTAATCTCTACATTGTAACGTCATGTTTACAATTTATATTTTGATCTATTAGGTCTGACCTAGATAGACAATGTAAAAAATGGAGATTTTTTGCGGATATTCTTAATGATGTGGCAATGGGCATGGAATTATTAATACCCTATTTCTTAGCTCATTCAATGGTCATACTGTGTGCTTCCACAGCAATGAAATCTATTGTTGGCGTAGCCGGTGCAGCAACCAGAGCTGCATTAACGCAACATCAGGTTTCCTGAAAAACAATATTCATTTATCTTCTATGTAGAAATATCATTATTTATTAATATGCTACTTTTTTTTTATGTTAGGCTTTACAAAACAATTTAGCAGATGTTTCAGCTAAAGATGGAAGTCAAGAAACTTGTGTTAATCTTGTTGCATCTTTCGTTGGAATTTTCATACTGTCGTTTATTTATGATGGACGGTAATTTTATTATAATTTATTTACATACAAATTATCTTTTAATTGTTATATATGAATATATTTTTTTTTTTTATAGATATTTATTAGAACTCTATGTCTTTTTGGTAATAGTACATTTATATGCCAATTATTCAGCAATCAAAGTTTTATGGTTAAACTCATTAAATGAAGATAGACTTGCTTTATTAATAAAAAATTATCTTATTCATGGAACTGTTTCTAATGCAGCAGAAATTAATAAAAAAGAATCAGTATTCCTTTGGAAAAAACCTAGTAAAAATAATTTATATTATTATTATTCTAATGATATTTAAGACAATTTTGTTATAAATTTGAATTTTTATTTTTCTAGCTAAGGATATATGCGGTTTTAATATAAAATTAGGAGTATCACTTTCATATATTTTGAAAAGAAATAATCATAATATGACAAAGCGTATAGAAGATTTTCTACAAGATTTTCAACATAAGGAATATTTAATATTTTTGGATATCAAGAAAAAAATTATTCATGTGGTATTGAAAAAAAACATAGGACAGAATGAAATATTAAAAGCATACTTTCATGCTTGCCTTTGTGGTATATTAACAAGTATATCACACAAAATTCCTATTGTAAGTTTTTTTTTTTTTTAATTACTAACAATTGGCCTTTCTATTTTAATTGTTAATTTATTATTTATTTTTTTATATATTTTTTAGGAATTATTATTTACAACTGAAACATATAAACCTTCATTTCCTTTAATACGTATATATCTTCTTTATAAGAAATGTGATTCTCTTGAAGATCATAATTCTTTTTCATCTATGGAAAGTACCTTTTATCATACAGATTCTATTATTGATAAAGAGTATCAAACTTTTGCAAAACATTTAGAAAACAAAGGTATGTAATGATAATTACTAATAGAATTTTTGTATAAGATTTTTTTTTTTATAAAACTACATTTTGATTATTTTTAGAATGGAATTTGAAAAATAATCTTTTATCCATAAATTCATGGAGATGTGTATGGAATATTAAAAGATCTCAAGAATAATATTATAAAATAGGTTAAAAAAGAAAAAGAGAGAGAATACTTTATTTCTAGCATTTTATAAAAATATGACACACCTTTTTTTAAATCTGTACAATAAAGTCTTAGAAAATGTAAACTAAGACTCTTGTTCCTGTTTTGGACCAGTTTGCGATAAATGTTTAACAATATCCACCCAATCCCATCCGCGTGGTCTTTCTCCTTTTCCATCAGCTTTATTCCATTGTCTACGTTTTTGAGCTTTGCTTAATTGTTCTTTCTTTGGTCTTTTTACAACTTCTTCCGTCTTTAAAATAATGAAATCATTAATTCTTATGCATAAATTTGTTATCAATATAATAAAATCTATAATACATATTTTATTTGTGTACCTGTTGATTCTCACTCGATATTTTAAGTTTACTGGCTTGTGAATTTATTTCAGCAATAGAATCCGGTTGCATAGATAACAGTTCGGTAAAATGTTCTTGAACATACTGGAATAATGTATATGTCATAGCACTACCTAACCATTGATCTGCTTCTGCTTCTAATTGTTTCACTACTTCATCCTTTACTTCTTGTACACTATATATTCCAATTATTTACCTTTAATCAAAACCATAGAATACAAAAAAATCAGATAATCTTGTCACTTACATGTGTTTATTGTAAAATGTATTCATATTGACGTTTGGCTTTTCAGATGGATATTTCGGACCCCATGAAATTTCCAATAGAAATGACTTTATGTCGTTATCTTCTCCATACTGTATATAAAAATATGTTTAGCATAAACAATTTGTATTAAAAATGACATTATTTTTTTCTTTTCAAATAGTAACAGGTTAGAATTTACATTTGACACAATATATCGAATGTTTTAATCAATATTCGTAAGAGTAAAAATAATAATTATCTAATGAATAATAAAATATGTTTTTTAAGTAAAATTAAAACTTTTGCAATATATCAAACCTTGTATTGAAAGGTAGTGGGTGTTAACTGATTAAATGCTGGATCACCCTCATAAATAGAAAGTAATACTTCTCTTTCTTCCTCTTGTAATTCGACATCACTCATTTCCTTTTTGCAACTATTTTTGTTATTCTTCTTTGCAATTGTATAATTTTATCTCAAGATTCGACCATGGGTATTGGTTAGGTTAGAAATAAACTTCGTATGAAGTTCAAGTTTATATAGATGGCGCCATTTTTATAAGATATGTAGGGATCCTGTAGGAGGGATGCGCCATGTACATTACTGGGGGACCGGAACTCGATTTTGGGCGCGAATAATTTAAACATTGAAATAATTATGAAATAATGAATTGCATTAAATATAGACAAAAATGAACTATATTTAATGATAATTAAAAATTTATATTAAAATAGAATAGGTTACACGAAAAAATTATTATAAATTCAAGCGGTCCCCCAAAATTTTCAGCCAATGACACATGAGCTGAATATGAATGGCGCATCCCTCCTACAGGATCCCTAAAGATATGTGCATTATACTATAATAATAATTTATAACAATTAATTACAAGAGAAAAGAATACATTACATTATATTAGGATAATAAATAATAATAATAATGGTACAAATAAAAATAATATTATTTTTACATATTACAACTATTTGTCAATATTACGTATTAAAATATTATTTTTTAGACATTCTATTGAATAACTTTGTACCTATTTAATTATACGAAATCTACATGTGTTATTGCAAAATTGCAGAATTGCAAAATGCGAAGATGTAATTAGAAAATAATTAGCTTAATTGCAGAAGGACGGCATGAGAAACACCAAATAAATATATCAAGTTAAGCACAGGTGCATCCTGCATAACCAGCTGTAAATCGCTCAGCTGATCGATGACGCGCAGTCGCAAAGCAATTCAGGATACCTATATGCACATGTATACGTATATAATTTGTAAGTGCAGTTAAAAAAAGGATTCTATAACTCTTTTCAGCTGATCAATCGTTTATTTTAAATTAAAACTTTATATGCTTGTAATGCAACTACGTTTATATTGACTTTACATCAAGAAAGATAATTAGAAAGAGATAATTAGACATTAGAAAATCTATTTAATAGAAATTGGACACGTATTTGATATACAAGATTTACGTCGGTTACATACATGGTTAGATTTTGAGCAAAAAATGTTAGTATTATTAAGTATGTACAATTAGAAGTAATAATTATGTCTAATAAAAATTATTAAAAGTAGAACGAATGACAATAGTGTAAATGTAAGAAAAAATTTGTGGTAATAGATGTTCAAGAATATAAATAGAAATATTTTCTAGCTAGACGCCATTATTGCTTCTCTCTGTATACTATAATAACTAACATAAAATATATAGCCACGTATATACTTATGTAGTACGTGATTGTGTACAGAATCTATTACATAGAATGAAATTAAAGAAATATTATTATTTACTATGGTTGCATGTGTAAGAAATATAGAAAACGTTTCTCATATGTAGATTTTCTGTCATAATTTATTTCAAGAATTTACTTTGTAAGAAATTTTTCACATAAAAAATCATAAACCTATTATTTCTATAGGGAAGTGATGAATCAACCGTAAAAAAAATGTATGTTTTTAAACCATTTGTTATTGTAAGACATCGTTCACGATGCCTAGAACGACCAAAGGCAAGAAGTGGACACAGAATAGTGTGCGATCATAAAAACCTCTATTCATATGGTGGATTTAACCCTTGCATTACTGATTATGATCGTGATATGAGAAATGATGGCATATGGCTTGCCAGTAAACCACTTTTTAAAGAAATTTGGAAATTTAATTTAGCCACAAATCAATGGAAACGTTTACCTGGCCGAGAAAATCTACCAGATGAATTAGCATCTAATGCGGTTGTTTTGAAAGGAAATGCATTAATAGTTTATGGTGGAACAGGTGTACCCTTTGGTGATGTCTGTAATGGTCAGCTTTATGTGTGTAATGTTGATAATGGGAAAACAACAAGAGTGATAGCAAAAGGTGACATGCCAAAACCACAATATGGACAAGCTTTGCTATTTAATGAACCTTATCTCTACACTGTTGGCGGTACAACTGGAAGAGAATATACTTGTGATATTCATAGATTTAATTTTGAAACTGGACTATGGGAAAAAGTTTACATTTGCACTGGAAAGGATTTGTCAGAACCAATGGGACGGTATAGACATGAGCTTGGTTTTGATGGAAAAAACATTTATGTTATAGGAGGAGGTACTGGCTCTGAGGCATTTAGTTTAGCAGTAAGTATTGTTTGCTCAAATGAGATAGTATTTTTCTAACTAGTATTAAATATACATTTATGAATTATAAGGAAATACCAACTTTTAATTTGGAAAAAAGAAAATGGACAATTTTAAATACTCAAGGCGATAGCGAGGATAATACAATTCCTGCTCCTAGACGTTGTCATGGTGTAGTCCAATATACGGATGAAAAGACAGGTGTAACTTACGTTGTTGTTTCTGGAGGTACAAATGGAGCTTTTGTTTTTTCCGATGTTTGGAGACTAGATTTGAAAGAAATGCAATGGACTTGCCTAAGAAAATGTAAACTCCCACGACCATTATTCTTTCATTCTGCTGCCTTAACTCCTCAGGGTCGTATGTATACTTTTGGTGGTGTAAGCATGCAACGTGATAAAGTAAGTATTATTTTATCATTCTTGTACATACAAAATTACACATAATATATTGTTATTTTATCATTTTGTTAAATGTTTATTTCAGGCAGCAAGAACAGATGCTATCTATGCAGTTTGGTTAACAATACCTAAATTATCTGAAATATGTTGGCTAGCATTAAATTATTACATTTCGGATTTGAGAAAACGATCACCGGATAAATTGCTTAATCTTGGTATACCATTAAAATTTGTACGAAGACTTGATCCCTGCGTATAATATACTATACACTAAAACATTTTAAAAATATGCTATATATTTTAGAACATTGATTATTATTGGTAACTTACTACATTAATATTAAAATTGTCTTTTAATATAATCAGATTTTGTTTACAGCATTTTTTTAAACAGTCATTTAGATAATCGGTTTTCAGATAATCAATGCTTTATTGTACTTATATCGCTAATTATAATTGTTTCAAACTATATTTTAAAAGTTAACAATGTTATTCTAAAGACATATGCTTTTATATACAAAGTTATACAGTATTTTACAAATTATAGATCATGAAATAGTATATTTTAAAAATTAAAACTAGAAATTATGAAATAAAGGTATAAGAGATTGTAATTAAAATTCTTTAGATCTATTGCATTCACTTTGTTAGTTGAAGGTTGAAGATAATGAAATAGTTAAATGAGTTTAATAGTTATTTAAATAATATAGTAATAAAATTCTCTCTCTCAAAAAGTTCAAACATAAATTATTATAATATCAGCAAATAAAATTCAATGGAAACTAGGTTAATCTATTGTGAAAATTTTACACTAAAAGAAAAAAAAAATGAAAATGCATAATACACAAATGTCTACGATCATTATTGCAATTATGCAATTATACTTCTTAAATAAAATTTTGCTTGCCGTATAACGTTCGTGTATTGATTCAATGAAATTAATAAGAAAATAATAATAGACAGATATATTATTATCTTAAAGCATGCAAAAAGATGAAAATTAAATCGTTATATGAAAATAAAACAAAAATACGACATACGTCATAACATTCATGCAAATACATTTTGGCTTTGCTCGTGCGCATCGATTTTGCGCATTTGCGAGAATTCGGCTAAATTCGTTTGTCATTCGGCTTCTGTCGTCGAGCTAAGGGTGCATGAGCGTGGAAGGTTAGTGCAACGGGACTTATTTCGAGCCGTGTGTTCGTTGTTTCAAGTTCGCGACGAGAACGGTGATATCGTTTTCGTCATAATACTTTTTAACGTATTTGTCTCCTTAGAGATCTGCACTCATGCATTCGATGCATTCAACTATAATACATTTCGACATGTACGACGATGTGTTGATCTAGTATTTATTGCATTTGTGAAACAACGAGACGCCATTCACGTGTCAAACGTCGCGAAACCAGAATTGGATGTAGGAAGTGCTACAACTCCCGTGGCTTAAGAAATTTCGAAACAAAATATTATTTGAAAAAGGATTCCCTTCATTCGCAATGGAACAGAAGAGGCTGTACAAATTAGTACTCACAGGAGGTAAGCAAACTTTTTTACTTTATTTCTTTATAACGGATTATACCTTTTTCAATCTTTTTGTTTCTGCCAATCATCGAGTTAGATTTTTCCATTTTTTCAAAGTTTCAAGGATAGACAAGATATTTCTTTCGTAAATAATCATTATATGAAATATCTTTAAGAAGAATCTAAACACGCAACTAAGCCAGCAGCATTCTCTTTCTCTTTCTCTCGTTCACGCTCAAGATCTCTTTCTCGCTCTCGCGAGAAACCACGTGCTCGTTTTTCCACCTACGACGAATGTTTTACTGTTCTCTTGCATAATACTCCTCCTTTATTTCTTCATATTTCTTCGTTAAATTATATTCACACAATAAAAAAGTAATTATTTCAATTAATATATTTCTTTTTTATTTTATTTTTTTTTTGTTAACTAGAAAATAATCTCTAAAACTAACACGTGCATATCTTTTCTTTTATTATCATACTCTCATAAAAGAACAATGTTGCATTGGCTCGTTTTAATGAATATAAAAATGTATAAACTTTATTGATGATTTATTTGTAACGTTTATGGTAAATTTACGTTATTCTCAGAGTTTAAGTATCCTTCTATTTGTAGAGAGATAAAGAAAGATAGAGAAAGAGAGAGAGAGAGAGAAGAGAGGAGAGTAAATATCGATCGAATTCATGGAGTGTACTATGCAGGTGAAAAGATGACAGCAACAACGATACCGCGCAATACGACAATAAATGGGTGCTGCTCCTCCTATCGTGAAAAAACCGCGCGCGTGTATTTAAATTATTCGGAAGTTCTCTTTTTCAAACAGAAAAAAAAAAAAAAAGAAAAAATAAACGAGAAGCATAGGAGAGAAAAAAAGAATATTTTAAAAGAAGGTTCAAGAAAAAAGATAGAGAAAAAGAGAAATAAGGGAATGGGGATGATTTCTTTTCGTCAATGGAACCCAGGTACAAAGGTGAAAGGGGACTCTACGTTATTCGTCAAATGAAAAGCCATCTTTTTTTTCCTTTCCTTCATTTTTTTCCCTTATCTTTATCTCTCCCTAATAATAACCTTCACAATATTCATGAGGTTTCTTCTTCTCGTTACTCATTTAAAACAGACAAAACTTTTCACGAATCAATTTATAGTTTTATGATTTTACATTATAAAATAATTATATAAATATTTTATTTCTTTATTCCTACGTATGGTACAAATTTCCTTTTTTTTTTCTTTTGATAATTTAAACTAATAGTATTATCTTCCAATTAGTTTATTTAAAATATCATTTTTGTTAAAGTGTTTGTTAAAGTTTAATTAGTTATTTATTTTTATATTAGGTTGTCCTAAAAGTTTCTTTCTTTTTAGTAATTCTACAGGTACAATATTTTTTTTATGTTGAATAATTGAAAGTATAATAAAAGGTCAAATAAAGTAGAATTGATATTTATTTAATATATTATTTAAATTATAATTTTTAGTATATTATATTATTTAATATATTATAATATATTATGCATATAATATTGTTCAACTTATTATCAAAAAAGAAAGAAATTTTTGGAACGACCTTGCGCATATATATATATCTATATATATGTTACGTATATTATCGGTTTACTTTGATACGTATTTTAAGATTATATATTTTCCATGTCTTCTTTAAGTATAATTTAATAAAGTAAAGTAAAAAAAAAAAAAGAAAAGGAAAAAGAATACAAAAATTGGCTTTATACGATAGACAAGAGGATTTCATAATTTGATTAACTACTTTATAACAATTCTCTGAAGGTCATTTCACGTTTATCTTTGATCATGATAATACATGGCGTAATTAGATAATATATTTAGGTCTAACTTAATGCGTTTTTTTTTTTTTTTAATTTTTTGTCCATTTGTAATTATTTTTAAAAGAAATTCAATTTACAATTTGATTTTCTAAAGAACGCGGATGCATCATTCTTTTAATGAACTAATGAATTAAACATTTTAAGATTAATGTGGAGAAACCTGAATTCTATAGAAGTGTGCTTCATTTGCCTATGTTTAGACAATAGCTTGAGATTCTCCCTTTCTTATTCTCCTCCATGTTCAAAATACACCTTCCTGAAACACATTTTATAAATTGACCGAAAATTGTTAGAAGCATTGTCTACATATTTTTTTTATTTCCACATGTTTTGTTTTACTTATAATAGTTTAAAATCATTCCCCCTAATTCTTCAAACACAAATAAATAAATTAATCACATTTTAAAGATTGACCGAAATCTTCTGAACATTCTATAAAATAATCACCGTTATTTCAACATTAACCCTTTGAGTGTTGAATACTTTTACTTACAATATTTTGTAGAAATGAAATTGTTTATTATTAACTAGATTCTAATAATAAATTATATCTAATAATTAAAGTTCTTCTTTCTAAATATAATTTAATTAATTAATATAAACATTATATTATTTTATATTAATATTTTCAAACATGCATATGCGTCCATAGCACTCAAATGTTTAACAGTAACATGTTTAAATAGTAGACATTTTAATTTTCATTTCAAGATCTACAATTTTCTTTTTTTCTTTTCTTTTCTATAATTAGAATCTATATTTTTTACAATACTAACTAATTTTAAATTACGAAAAAAAAATAGCCAAGTTTTATTTAAATGTTTTTGTTTTTAATTGTGAATTTAAAAAATGAAGTATAGAAGAATACAAAGAAAAAAATAAGAGCTATTTATTTAGTTAGGATGAATGTTTGAAGATCTGTATAAACGAGTTTGCGTGCATCGTCCTATTAATATCAGTTTAGTACAATTTAAATCAATTAAAGAGTGGAATAAAAATATAAATAGTCAATTTGATCGAGTAGAAGAATCATTTCTTTCACTTTTATATACACGAGAAGAAGACGACGACTTATCTCGAAGTTATATTAAATATTAAAAAATAAACAAACATTTAGATTTGATAATAAATTTTGTTCACCGTTAAAAAAAGAACATCGTTTACTTTAATATTCTTAGAAAATAATCATCACACTTAAATGATGTTTTATCTTTTTAATGTTTTGCTTTTAAATAAATAATCATTTCGATGTAATAATAATTTTTGTTCACCGTTAACAAAAAAAAATGACATCGTTTACTTTAACATTGTTAGAAAATAATCATCACAATTAAATAATAATTAACAAGTAATAATACTTAAACAATAATGTTTCATCTTTTATAATGTTTTATAAACGCGTTTTCTTTATTTTTTCCTTTTCCTTTTTCTTTTTTTTATTCTTGAAATATACATACATATCACGAAGGACGACAATCATCGTTATCATAAGCTATCTTATTACATATCGATTTCTACTATTAGCGTAGTTAGTTATGATGACAATAATAAAAAATGACTAGGATCAGCTTATAAAAAATTAGCTTCGTAAAATATGATGGTAAATTTGTTCTTTTACTTATTTTAGAAATACACCAAGAGTAGTGTTATGTATATATAGGTATAATAAAACACAAGCAACGATGGTGTGCAACAAAATGCAAAAGATTCTCTCACATAGTTCAAATTTCTAAGCAAACACCTTAGTTCTATCAATGCTTCGAATTAATATTAAGTAGTTTCTATAATTTGTTTTTTGAATTTTAGAATGATTATAAAAACCATGTATTGGTAACATGTTAACATAATTCATAGAATGTTGTTCAAGCATACCTATTACTTGTATTTTTTTTTTTCAGTCTCTTTTTTTTTTATTTTCTTTTTTGTTGAGTTAAAGGTCGGAATGTGAACAAAAAAAGGACAAGGAAAATTGCTCATAAATACAATTGATGACAAATAAATGATCAATCAGAATTGCAATCATACAATATTGTTCACCGAGACCTTAATACTTTTCTTAATAAATGTTGCATTAACAAAAAGAACTTATACTTTTAATGAATTTAACCTTCACGTTAACAAACTGGATCGAACTCGAAACAATATTCTTATGACACGGTTTTCATACAACATACGACTTTATCATTTCTCGGATATATAACACGAATGTTTTTATTATATCTTGTATTGTTTTTCTTGAACATTGTTTTAATATTAACATAGAACGTTTATATGATAAAGTTAATGTTTAAATTAACATGTAATTTAGTTATGATTGTATTACTACTTCGTTTCTATTTATGCTATGAAAATTCAACATCCTCGTAGTATATTTGTAATAATCAAGATTATTTCTTATCATTTTATATATTACGTTTCGATTATTTTATTGGTTGATTGTAAAAGTATCATTAATTCAATTAATTAATTATCAATTGTTTATTTGTTTGTGCAGGACCTTGCGGTGGAAAAACAACAGGACAGGCACGGCTGTGTACTTTCTTCGAAAATATGGGATGGAAAGTAGGCATGAAATATATATATATATACTTATTATTATTTGCTTTTAACATTTGGATCTTAAGGAAAACTAAAGAAACACACAAAAAATAGAAAGAAAGAAAAAAAAAAAAGGGAAACCTATGTTAATGTCGCCGTATAATAAACGGATGACGACATTTTGTTTCTTATTGATAAATTTGTTTTGTGTGTCGATTCGTTATTTTTTAATAACATCCGAATTATAGATTTTTTATTATTTATTAATTTTTTTTTTTTTTTAACCCCGAAAACAAATACAGTTCCATTAATAGAGAAAAGGAAAAAGAGCGAATGGTACGAATGAAGATGATTTAAAAAATTGCAATTTGTAGACAAATTTTGTTATATGCATGGTTGGTCTATGAATCAGTTGTGTAGCTAATAAATATACATCCTTTAATCTATTTGTATTATTAGATTATATATATGTTAATAATTTTATTTTTATTATGTTTTTATTATTAATAAATAGGCCGTGAAATAATATTGTGAATTGATGTTAACAATTTAAAAATTTATACACATTTAGTTGTTTTACTTATTTCGAGTTTAATTTTATCTTAGAAAATAAAAAAATAAAAATAGTAATTTTGTTAATTAACGAGGAAGTAATAAAATCATTATAAACGTAGACATATAATTAAAATTTCATTATTTCTTGTGTTATATAAATAGATTTGATTACAACCATGTTAAACTAATTAATTATTATATTATCAACTTATTTTGAAAAATAACGTTTTTTCTTCATAACCATGTTAAACTAATTAATTATTATATTATTAATTTTGAAAAATTACATTTTTTTTTTTTTAGTAAATGCAATCAAAGAAATTTTTGTGCAGTCTATAAATTAAACGATGTTTAAAGTAATAAAATATATATTTTTGTCAGCTGATTTATAGTCCACCAAGTGTATATAATACTAATAATGATAATAATAAAAATAATAACAGTAAGAAAGAGAGAGAGAGAGAGAAAAAAAAATAGAAGATGTCTCGTCTTGATCTCTTCTTATCTCAAAGCAAAATAACAAAAGTAAAAAAGAAAAGAAAAAAAAAAAGAGATCATTCTCAGTCTCCCATCTCTTCATTCGTACCAACCGGATATAACGCATACGAATTCTTGCAATTTTTCTTTCGAAGAGAGTTTAATATAGATTTTAGCCAGACAACAAGGGAAACATTTTTATCCCTTTAAACAATTTGATATTGTTAAAGTTAACGCAATTGTATTTGACGATTAATTGCAATCCGGGCTCTTCTCGTACAGAAATCGATTTTAACGATCATAGTTAAACCTATCGGAACAAATTGTTGTTGTTGTTGTTGTTTTTTTCTTCTTTTTTTATCTTTTTTAATATTTAATTTTTTTTTTGTTTTTTTTTTTTTTTGGTCAAAGCTCGTTTCAAATTTTTCCCATATTTTATTTTATTTTTTATTTAAGTAACAAATGGAATGGGTGAGACTGGGTGGGAGTTTAGGAAAGAAATCAAAATATTTCTTTTTTTTTATTTTGTTTTTTTACACGTTACATTTTTTCTATCGATTATTAGTATTTTTTTTTTTTGTACAAAAAAAGAGGCAAAAAAAGAAAAAAAAAAGAGGAGTTACATGTTTTTGGGGTTTGAGTTATCCCCCTACGTTGTGGATTCGATAGAGCGGTGGTTGTTCTCTTTTTCAGGTGTTCCGTGTTCCCGAGACAGCGTCCGTGCTGCTCAGGTATGCAATTACACGATAACAAATTTACAAAAGGAATCGAAAGAATGAAAGAAAGAGAATGATGGTGTCTGTGTAGAGAGAAAGAAAGAAAGAAAGAAAGAAAGAATGACGATGACGATTAATGGAGGATTGAACATGTGTTGAAGAAGAAACCTAAAAAAGAAGAATTGAATAAACTCAAATAAGTTTGGCATATCCATGAAAAGATTCGTATTAGTTTCACGAAATTTTATTTAAAATCAAAAAAAAAAAAAAAAAATAAAAACGTGTCCAATATATAATTTTATTATTTCTTCATTTAATTGTTTTTCTGTAGGAAAAAAAATAGATCCTCTATTTTTCGTATTCGTGTATTAAAATGATATAAGAATATTTTCTCATAATAATCGTGATTGTTTTTTTTTTTTTTTTTTTATACAAATCCCGTTGAGATAATCTTTTGTAGATTTTTTTTTCCTTCTATTTTTTTTTATATTTCAAAGAGAAATTAATTATACATTAGGTTTTTTTTACGTATATATATATACATCCATATCCATATTTATATACAGGATGAGTTAGTTAACGTTGATACTTTAAATATCTTTGTTATTTTAACAAAAAAAAAAATACGTCAAATGTTTAAAAAGAATTAAATGAGTTAAATGGGAGCTCATAAAATTCCAAAAATATTTTTGATGTATTTTTCAAAAACAACGAAGATATTTAAGGTATTAAAATTAGCTGACTCACCTTGTTTATAAATGTGTTTATATTATATATATATGTACATACGTATATATACGTATATGTGCATATGTATATATCATAATATTAATAATAGCAAGAAGTATATAATTATAGGAAATGACTTCGTTTGAAATTTTACTGATAACATTGACAAACGAATTGTTATTTATTTATTGCCAAATTTTCACTATATATTTCTCATAATATATAATAATATATATATATATTTTTTCTTCTTCTTCTTCTTCTTCTTTAACATACATCTACACCCACACACAAATAAAACAGAGCTTTTTACACGTTCCAAATATTATTTTACAAAGGTCTCATCCATCGTCTGCTCTTTTTCCATTTCAGTGGTGGCATCAAGTTTTCAGAGCTGAACGCCGAGGAAGGTGAGTTCTCTCTTTGTACTTTTTTTTTTTTTTTATTATTAAAAAGAAAAAAAAACTAATTTCTACATGCATGTTCATCGTTGTACGAATAACGATTTATAATAATAATGATATAATATATATCATATTTATTATATCATTATATATGATTATATATTATTATATATTTTGTATATATATATATATATTAAAATTCTCTTCTCTTTAGCAAGAAATACAAAAGCGTTTTTGTTTAAATAGTATAATATAACACATTTTGCCAAGAAATTTTCATAAGAGATCCGTTCTTCGAGAATTTCTCGAGAACATGTGACGCCAATTTATCCAACCTTATAATAATAATAAGAAGAAGAATAATAATAATAATTCATATTTTTCCTTTTTTTTTTTTTTTTAATTCAAATAACAGTGAGTAATTTTTTATTCTCTTGATCTATTACTAATTATAGATGTTACTAACAATAAAATAAGCTTTAGACTTAGGTATAGTCGATTGGAACAAAGAGGTCATTTTATGCTATTTCTAGACAGATCAATGGCACGTTTTAATATGCTTTCTTTTTTTTTTTTTTTATCATATCCAAATTTTCACGAGAAAGGTGAGAAGATGAGAGGTGTTTTTTCGTCGCGAGAAAATAAAGAAAAATTTAATTAGTAAAACTGTGAATAGGAATGATAATATCGAAAAATATTACTTCTTGCTTTACTTTGCGTGCTTTAGATTGAAATCTTTATTTCATTTAAATTTCTTAACATAAGAAACGTTTATTCTTTTCTTTTCTTTTTTTCAAACACATTAACAATTCTCGTAAAATTAAATTATGTCTTTTTTATGCTAACATAATTATACCGTTGTTTATGTGTATATATAATGTAATTATATATTGCTGTATGTTATTATTATATTTTTTTCTTTTTTTTTCTTTTTTTTTTTTCATTATAAAATTATTACGTTACGTATAATACGCACACATCTACACACGTTGCTGCTTTATTCGTGTTAGTTATATATATATATGTTCTGAAAATGTTTTCTCTCGCTTTAGTGGTTTGATGAACAAGAAGAAAAACTATGTCGAAACTAACGCACACCATCTGGTGATTGCGTAAAAGAAAATAAGGCGACCTGCCAAAATTCTTCTTTCGATTCGACTAGAAAATCACGCAATGTGCAATCCTCTCGAGAATACAACCCCTCTTCCACCAGCTCCTCTACCTCCTCCTACCCATTGTCATCTAACAAACTGTTCATCTCAATTTTTGTGTTCCTTTAAGCTATTGGCTATTGCAATTCTCATTCTAAAGGTTATTTTATCGATCACAACAATAGTCTGATGAAATTTTCCACTTGTTTTTTCTCCATCTCATTTTCATTTCAGATCGATAGGATACCAATACCCCCTTCCTCAAACCCCTGCCGTCAGATTCTTATGAATAGTTGCCATGAGATTATTGGTATCATTTGATATAAAACTGGTTTAATACGATAAATAATTGGATTCTAAGTACTTTGCTAATAGTAATTAATTAATGCGTTATTATTAACGATCGATTGGAATATTATTCAAGGATAACGAGAATCTATATTCGTTCTCGTTGTGGAATAAATATACATACGTATTTTTTAAACAAATAATAGTAATATTAGCATAGATTTAATTTTACTTCAGAAAAAGAAATCAATTACAAACACTTAGATTTTATTTCTTTTTTTTTTTTTTTTTAATACAATTTTAAATAAAGTATTAGAAAAAAATATATAATCTAATAATAATAATTTATTATTTTTTTATATATATTTATTATTATTTTATTTATATAATTATNTAATTTATTATTTTTTTATATATATTTATTATTATTTTATTTATATAATTATATTATATATTTGTTATATTATTATTATATTATATATATTAATATATATTTATATAGCCAACATTTTTACCTTTATAACACTTCTACTATATACATAAACAATTTTCCTCAATACTATAGATCTTTCTTAATAATCATATTTATTTTTTAATTATAATATCATAATGCCATAATAAAATGACGATTATCAAGATCAGAATACATTTGGTTACGTGTTATTATGGGGAAAGTATTTTCTAAAATTCAAAAAATCACGATTAACTAGAATAACGTTAAACGAAGTATGACGTTTATTTTTTCATGAAATAACTCGTTTATTTTTTTTAAATATAATCTAGACTTATTAGTTACATAACAAAGAAAGAAAGAAAGAGAGAGAGAAAAAGAAAGAACTTTCTCATTAGTCTTTAATTTCTCGTCCTTGAATCATACAAATGCATTAATCTGGCTTCCTAAAAAGAGATATTGCATACGCCCTTACATCTGTTTGGCTTCGAAAAGCTTCTTTTCTTTTTCTCTCTCTTTCTCAAGAGAGAAAGAGAGAAAGTTTATAATAGTCAAATTAGAACATTTTTTTTTATCTGACTAATCATAACGTTGTAAACAAATCGTTATTTATCTTTATTTACATTAATTAAATGCCAATGAGTGATTAAAATCGTAAACATGACTCTTAAATAGTTCAAACTCTGATTGATCATCGTTTATTATTCTATCATCGATGAATAAGTTAATAATTAGCAACAATCATCATAATGTTATCATACTCGTACAATAAACCTTTGACTGTACATTCCAACAGCTACAATGATTTATTTAATTGATCGATATTGAAACTTTATGAGTTATTATAGGTTGATGATCGTTTACTCTCTCTCTCTTTCTTAAAGTAACCAATTTAAGATATATAAATGAATCTCTTTATATATGTCTCTTTGGTCTCATCGTATTTTATTATCGTCCAATCATTTGCCACCGAACACAACTAGGTTTCACTCATTCTTTGGCAATAAACCAATTGTCAATCTGTGTGTATATGTGTGTGGTGCATTGCACGAGTTTCAAATTAATTTTTGATTCAATAAGAGACAACACATGATTTATTAACACGAATAACGAACACGTTCCTTTTTTTTTTTATACTTTGAATGACTAATATACAATATGGTAGTAACACCATCGATAAAATAAAATCTTAATTGTATCCAATAATTTACATGTTTTATATATTACATATACATATGTATGACTATCTTATTTTATTTTGTTTTGTTTCAACTTAGACTTTCCTAAGGAATAAAAGAAATAGAAAAATATATTTATTTAAATAAATGTATCTTTTCAAACCACGTTTAAAAAAATAGTAACAGAAAGAAATAGAAAGAGAGAGAGAGAGAGAGAAATGTTTTCGGAGTAAGGTGAAGGTCAAAGGGCGAAAGTGTTATGTGTGCGGCTGCTGTTTGGAGCAAATCGATACCCTACTACCAACCAACCACCCCTTCCTTCCTTCCCTTACCACCTTTCTCATCCCTCCGTACTTTCGCTCTTACAAACCTAAGAAACTTTATTTTCGAAATTGCGTAATGGTGTATTGTTTTTATTGCTTATCATACGACATGTGAGTAATATCAATATCTACATATAAATTGATGTGTTTCGAATCGATTAAATATGTTTGAAAATTCATAGTATTTCGTAACCAGTAAACCATCGGAATTCTACGGGGAATGGTAGTATTTATATGTTAACCCAGTATTAAAGGTGAAAAGATTAGGAAAAATAACGTAATAAAATATACGTAATAAAAACGTCATATACGTAATAAAATAACGTAATAAAATATTCAAAATATAATTCTGTATACTTTGAAAATTATTTCTAAAAAAATAATATTTCATTTAAATGTTTTCAATTCTTTTTGTTTTTGTTTTTTTTTTCTTTTCAAAAAGCTTATACATTTGACCGAGTTTTTAACATAATTAAAGTTTAACGTTATTAAAGTAAATCTTAACTTATATAATTGAAATTTAATTTTATCATTTGAACAAACTGTTGTATTATTTTTCTGTCTACCGGATTATTGGTGTTTTACTTTCGATGAAGATTCTCGATTAAATCTTTCATAATAAATGTTATAAAATATAGACTTCGTTGAAATAAAAAAAAGTAATTTCTACAAATTTCAAATACCTCTTGTATTTTAAATCAATTGAAAAATGTGACACTCAATTTGGATGAGTCTATATTTCTTGAGATGATATGATTAAAGTCGATTGGTATCTTCCGTTGTATTAGAGGACTAAAATTGCAATTGATTTATCTGCACGTGGTATTTTAAACAATTTTACCGTATAACAATGTAGATTGTTTACGTTTGAAGTACATAATAAAAAGAAATTGAAAGATAACGCACAGTGACTTGAGAGTTTGAAGAATCAATTTGAATAAGAAATGTCTTTTCGATATGAAAATGACGTCAATCTTTTGCTTCAAAATCAAAATAAAAAGAAGAAGAAAATATATTTGAATGTGGTGGTTGAGTTATATTAGAAAAAGAAGACAAATATTCCTGTTACTTTTCAAATATCAGATAAGTTGAAAGAAACGGAAGTCCCCGATTGCTGACTTATCATAAGTGATAGACCTTGTTACAAAATTGACATTTTTCAAATTATATTACGAAAGAATTAAAAAAAGAAACTCCGTCTTAATTTTCTATAATCTAAGTGTTTCTTTTTTTTTTTTCTTTTTCGATTTAAAATGAACATACGATAAAATACGTGATAATGTTTATTATTATTTAATTTTAAACACTCGATATAGGTTCTTTTTTCACGAACAAATTGTAGATAAAAAAACAAAGTTATATAATTATGATAATCGTTCTTCTTAGTCTTTTTTTTTTTTTTTTTAATTGTCATATAATTCAAAAGAATGAAATATGTTCGCAGTTAAAAAGAACATCTTACAGCCAGATGTAATGGCTAAAGAGATCACAGATGCTTTTGCCAGTTTCATGCTTCTTACATTTGGAACGATTTCCATCACACTAATAGTAGTCTTGTTTGTTTTTACCATCTTATTCTTTTAGTTCATTTAAACGAATAGATCACATTTTAAAAGAGAACATTAGAATCATTGTCTTTGACAACGTATTTATAATACATGCTATCGATATTCGTACAACAATTCATGATATTAAACTTTTGTAGAATATCATTTCTTTGTGTGCGTATTTATTTGATTATTATATCTTGTATTTTGTTTCAGGATTCAAATTTCAGGAGAATCTATTACGTACGATGATCCAGATTGAAAATACGTTCTTTCAATTAGGCGAAAGTTGCTCAAGAAATTGTCTTATAATTTGTGATCGTGGTGCAATGGATGCCTCGGCATGTAAGTAATTTATTTATAAATTATAACAAATTAAATAGATATATTTGAAAAATAATATTTATGAGATATTGTTCTAAAAATGTAACTTATAATTATTCCATAGTTATCTCGAAAGACGAATGGGAATTGATGATGGCTTCAAATGGTTGGAACAACGTAGAATTAAGAGATAACCGATATAATCAGATCATCCATATGGTGTCAGCAGCAAACGGAGCTGAAGATTTTTATTCAACCGAAGATCATGCTTGTCGCTCGGAAGGTGTTGAACTTGCTAGAGAATTGGATTACAAGGCCGCAGCAGCTTGGGTCGGTCATCCTTACTTCGACGTGATCGACAATTCGCAAGATTTTGAAATAAAACTCTGTCGTATGATAGAATGTGTTTGCCAGAAATTAGGCATTGATACTGGAGATCGATTACGTTCTAGCAGTCGTAAAGTTAAGTTCCTCGTAAAAGATCCCCTACCATTAGACTCCGAATTTCCGCCATATCAGGATTTCGATGTCGTACATAACTACCTCCAAAGTAATAATCCAAAAATGCAAGCACGTTTGCGAAAGCGTGGTCAAAAGGGTAATTATTCTTTTATTATTTATCTATTATTCTTATTATATTATTTTTTCATATATATATATATATTTGAAACCAAAAAAAAAAGGTAAAAACGAATTTCCTTTTATTCTAACGTTATATTTCTTGATTCAAGGTCATTGGTCTTACATACATACCATCCGAAGACCAAAAATGTGTGGTCAAGTAATTGAGGTAAAGACCCAATTAACACATAGAGATTATTTAAATATGTTAGCACAACGTGATGATTCACACTTTACTATCTTCAAAAGGCGACGTTGTTTCCTTATCAATAATCAGTATTTTCAGTTGGATATATATAAAGAACCGGCACATCCAAGGTAAGTATCTTCAAGACATTTTTCGTTTCGTTTGTTTGTTTTTTTTCTTTTTCTTTTTTTTTTTTTTTGAAGAAACGTCCTTGTAAGAAAAATTCCATTTTATTTTAGATGCCGAGGTCTCATGTTACTCGAAACTTATACGGCATTGACGGGAGACCAGTTAAAAAATATTCTACCACAGTTCCTCACTATAGAGAAGGAAGTCACTGGGAATCCTGATTATAGCATGTTTAATCTTAGTTTGCGAGAAGAATGGAATACCACAAATAAATATTGCCACAATTTAAATGGTATGTACAAAATAATATAAAATGTGTTTTTCGTACAAAATTTTATTCTTATGTAAATCTTCTTTCATCTATCAATTTTTACAGGTTTACCACCAGGTACTTGGATGTTGGAAAATGAGAATCTTAATCTTTCAGACATGAAAGATTCTTCTGAAACTAGGAATCAAGTTAACGGAGCCGATGTCAGAATCGGTGGTATAAAACATGATGTAAATAATGTTATCAGCGTAGTACAGAATGGTGTTAGTAGAGTAGCAAACGGAGATCGATATAAATATTTCGATCAGAATAATGTAAAGACTAATCAAGAGAGTCAAAAGCGTACATATGACACTCCGACGAAAAAGATAAATGAATTACCACAAGAAAAGAAAGATGGCAAACTTAATAAAAATGTCTTTCATGATAATGTAAAAGTATAACAGTAACAATAAAGAATAAAAAAAAAAAAAAATGAAGGAGAGGAAAAGAGAAAGGAAAAATAATTTCTAGAAAAAAAAAAAAAAAAGATGTAATATAAATTTGATTGGCATTGACTAAATTACACAATATATAAGGACAAATTTACATAATAAATTTTATTTTTTAATCGAACATACGTGTTACACATTTGGATATCTTCCATTAAGAGAATGTATTTAAGGATTTAATCGTTATTTGTTAATCTTGTTGATCTATATCAACAAGTGATATGTCTATCGAAATACCAAGTATTTATATACTTAAGAAAGGTTTCTTCGTCTCCTTAGTTTCCTATGCATCCTTCTACCTAAAGTATTGTCTTGATTCTTAATTAAGAAAATTACTATGAATGATTGTGATAAAGGTTTATATATATTTATATATAATCTACGACATATAAAAAAAAAATGAAGTATAATTATTTTAAATAGAACATACAATCAACACGAAGTTATACCCTTCTCAATAAAATCTTTAGTCGATTTTTTCAAAGTACATTAAATTTTTCCAAATAAATGTCTACAAACTTGTGAAGAAAATCATTGAAAAAAAACACAATTTTCAAGATACTTCTATTGTAACTTTTCAATTTTAAATAATAGCGTTAGAATATTAAATGGTAGCTTAATTTACGGATGATATGTGGTGGTATTAATTATTATACGTATATATGTGACTCTCTTCAGTCGATTGTAATATGCACATTGCTTGTCTAATTATTATCTTCTAGATTAAAAAAGATAAAAGTAAAAAAGGTCGTGGAAAAAAATACGTTTTAACGTAATATACGGAAATTACGTATTTAGAGCATAACAAATTTAAAACTTATCAATACTTAAAGCGGGCACATAACCCGTATCAATAGGTTTACAAATTGTATATATATATATATGATTTTACTACTTGTCAAAAAAATTTCTGTGATTAATTGCAATGGTATGACTGAGTTATAGCTTTTATGAAACATCATAATTTATTATATGGTGTATATCAAACAGATTTAAGAGTGTCGAATAGCAATGGCATGATGTACGAATTCTTGTTTTTTTTTTTTTTTTTGAATGGGGAGGAAAGAGAAATTAAAATAAGAGTAGATGATAACTGTGATGGCTACACTCTTTGTGCTTATTTACATAGGACAACGTTTACCAAATTTTGCCATTTTTTAAAGATAAAGTGCCTGTGAGATATTCAGTCGCGAAAAAAAGGAAATTATATATAAATATATATATATTTTCAATGAAAAATGCAATAATAAGTTATTATCACCTATTTCATGTAAAATGGATCCGAACTCATGTTGTACACATTATTGTCTAAATAAAATATCATGTGCCTATCAATTTTGAAATTATCCTTACAGTAATTTTCTTTTTATATATTTTTTTTTAAATCAAATTGGGAAACCGACAATATGTTGTTTAGTATAAATTAATGAGAAAATAATTACGAGAAGATATATTAATATTTATCAAAACATGTAAAAATGTTAGAATCAAATTATTATAAAAATAGAAAAAAAAACGCAATAATAAGATGAAATGTACATTTAAATATTTTCGCTTTTTGCTCGTACGCATCAATTTCGCGCATCATACCGAGAGCTCGGCAATAGTCGTTCGTTATCGGCACCTGTCGGCTCAATTAGTCATTAGTCTGGCGCGGGAAGTTGATGTTATAGTATCGCTCTTTGCATTTCGAGTCGTGTGTTTGTTTTTTAACTTTGCAACAAGAACATTGCATGCAAGTGACATCGTGCATCCAGTTTATCCAGTTTATCCAGCTTCAGTATATTCCGCATGTTTAATGAGGTATTAATGCAGTATTTATTGCATTTGTAAAACTTGTCGGACGTCGAATATAAAAAGTACTATTCTTCGTGTGGTTTGAAAAATTTCAAATAAAAATTATTTTCTATGGTCTCAGGAAAGGAAAAAAATAAATAAATCAACATTTATGTAGTTATTGCCTCGCAATTTATTGCAAATTTTCCAAAAAATCTCATAATTGTACAAACAATTGTACAAAATATGAATAAATATTATAACAACACATTCTAATTTTAAATATGCACAAATGTTAATTTAATGTTTATTAATTTATCTATTTGTACATTTCATATTGGCAGATTATATCTGACATTACTGTTTTTAATAATGAACAACCATATTATATTTATAAGGGAAAAACTTTGGACTGTCTGTGACAATACATATTTGATTGCATAAAAACACTTATATATAACAAAACAAACAAAAATTTATAAACTTCGTATATCTTTTTAACAAGTCATATGAGGTACATAATGTAATTATAAATATATTAATAGATGAGGAAGAAATAGTATATCGAGATAAATTCTATAGAAGATGCTTAAAATATTGGAATATGTGGGCATCCTTTATTTGATATTTTAACACTAGATTTTCGATTTAATGCTTCAAAATTCTGAACATGAAAATATTATTCTTTAAATATTACATATTGCTTTTTAATTGTATAATGCAATGAATATATATTTCTAGTCGTTTTCTCTGGAACACCTTTATTTTATTATTTCCAGATGTGGTATATATATACCTCTTTTTAATAAATAATTTAAAACAAAATTGCATTTTAACATATCCGTCAAAAAGACGGATTTCAGTAAAAAAAAAAAAAAGATATACAGGCAATGCTCGTAAATCTAGTGTTAATACATAAAAACTTTTATATGCAAGAAAATATCTAATTAATGCAATATGTTTATCAAAGATTACACGTATGGATATATTTTAATGGAAACTCTTTAGTATTAAATGCATATTACTTCATATTATATAATACTAAAATTTGTTAGTATATTATTTTCTCATACGTGTATAAGTGAGTAATGATTACATACGATCAGAAGATAAAAATTATGAAATGTTTTATAAGAAGACAAGAGAAGATATACTATATTTATAGAAATATGAATCTTTGAATATCTCTCAACTACAATTGAATAACATTTTTGCAAAAACGATTTGTTGTATACATGATGATCTCTTAGTGTATTAATCCTTTTTTTTTTTAAGCACATAAAAAGTATTAAATCTATAAATAATATCTAAACTTTGTATAGATTACAACCTGTTCCATAAAGATATACCAGTTATTACCTAAAAATACTAGATTTTAATTATTTAAAAAGTATATATATATACATATATGTATATATATATATATAAATATAATATGAATTAATAATTAGCATTCTGGAAGCATTGTTTGCAAGATATCTTAGCTTTATGTTTAATTCCATAAATATTTTTTTTCTTTTTTTGTTTATGTAAAAGTCATTAAAATTTATAAAAATTGTTATTTATGGAAGATAGTTCTTCCAAGTATTATGTTTAAAGCAGCTTCCTCTATACAACTGTAAACTGAGCTTAGTAGAATTGTAAAATTGTATTTATAACTAATTTAAGTATTGGAAGGACTAATATCTTTTCTTTTTTAAAAGCAAATGACAATAATAGTCAGCATTGCTTTTATATTCTACTATATACTTTGAAATACTAAAATGACTACATTTTGTTTACCTACTAATAGCTTTAGTTTGCTGGGCTTTGTACATTTTTAAGACCTTTTTACTAGGAATTAAGGACTGACTTAATCCTGGTCTTTTTTTACGTTTATTTGTATGATTGTTCTCTTGATCAACATCATTTTCATCATTTACAGAAAGCTGACCATTATACTGAGTTTGACAAATAATGGTTTCTTGCGGAGCTCGTATAGCTTCCAACTCAGCTGCAGTTCTATGCAAGTCTGAGTCATGAGCGAAAGTACAATTGTGACCAAATCGACATCTGCCTTTTCTATAATTCCAACAAATTTTTCTACCATTTATCATTTTAGTATCATCCAATGTTGGAGTCATTTTGACATGTTTTTCAAGTATAGCACTTTTAGCTTTTTCAGCTTCAACAAATGGATTAGAGAATACAGAAGTTTTCAAAGTAGGTGTGCCATTAAAATCAGGTGTAGGTAATGGAAGTTTTTCTTTGGAAGCAGTTTCAGTTTGTATGTCATCATTATTTTCACCAGGCTCATCATCTTCCCCATCTTCTTCTTCTTCCCCTTTAAAACTAAGAGTTCAGCAATATCAGATTACAAAGAACCAGCTCAATTGAAGAGTATGCACAGACTGATTCATCAAAATTTACAATTAAATATATTTTTATCTTTAATATACTATTGTTATCCAAATATTAATTCCCATTTATTAATTAGATTTGAATAATAATTTGTTATACACATACACATACATATATATATATACTTTTTTAAATATATATATTATTACTAAAATAAAACTATAGAAGAGGGATCAAATAAGGAACATACTTAAATGTAAATCAGTAGTAAACGTGCATGAAATGTATAGATAACTTAAAATACATAAAAATAAAGAATCAAATGTTTATAGATAAAAAATAAATCTGCTGCAAAGTTAGATACATGCAAATATCAAAATTCATCTATACGTCAGTATACAAATTGATTTTCAAATAAAATAATTTAAATGATATTTAATATTATGGATACAATAACTTTATCAACAAATTTTCAAGTAATATATATGAATGATTAGAGGTTAGCTAAAAGAGAAAATAAACAATACTACCTAAATGTAACATTTTAATTTAAGCTTACGTGTTATCACCATCATCCGATACGTCATCACCATCACTATCTGAACCCGAGGAAGTTCCGTAATCCGCAACTAAGGAAGCCATAATTTTAATCAATTAATTAACAGTGCAGTCTACAAACACTAATCTAAATGTGACCATTGTGAATTGTTGTTCTTCTCGAGTTCAAGAAGGTGTGGCAACAATGGTAAGATGAAATAACGGATGTCGGTAGTGCTGCCGTATTAATTGCATAGCGGGAAAATTTTTAAATTTTAGTTTATATTTATTAATATCATTGTTTAATTTTATCATATTTTTATGATTAATTTTAATTACTTGACTTTTAAACCAAGCCTAATAGTAAAATTGTACTCTAATGTTAATTTTAAGTTTTAAAAGTAGCACTTTGTACAATCGTAACTTTTTCTTATTATAATAAATGTTCAAATAATTATTTTATTTCAATTTAATGTCATTAACAATGATAACTAATTATTTAAAATTATAATTATCTCGATATTTTTAAAAATATTGACATATCGATTATTTATTATTTGTTTTTTTTTTATTATGATGTAGCGACACGTAGCAGTTATATTACAAACTAATTACTATATTGCTGACGATTGAACCAGAATTTTAGGTTATTTAAACCTAAATTCGTAATATAAAAAGAAATCATTTTCATTATGTGGTCAGTTGATTATATAGCTGGAAATTGTTCTTATGTATAATTTATAAAATATTTAAATGATTAATATTTAAATAATTTTTTATCATTACGTTATTTCCAATTGTTTTGTATCATTACAATTGTTTATTATTATGTTATTTGTCCAATTGTTTTGTATCATTATAATTAAATATTAATAAATATATAGTAGGTTAGAATAGAATGGCTGCTCTGATGAAGAAAAGAGTTTTAGCTGAATTTACCCAAAGTCAGGTATGTTGTCAATGATCTTTCTGTCATTCTGGACATTAGATTAATTTTTCTTTCGTTTATAGGTAATCAATGAGCCACCTTTGAAAAGATTAAGAACTTTACGACTTTCAGCAGCTGGAAGTAGTAAAAATGATGGTGAAGGTAGCTCTACGCTAGCCTATATAGAATGTTTAGAAAAATGTAAAGGTGGTAACGATGCATTACAGCTACTTGTTCGTATATCTGACACTGTAACATCCATATCTCCTGATGATGTACCCATAGCAATAAAGAAACTTGCAGAAAGATTTGCTATTGAAACTGAGGCTGCTGTGCGTGCAAAAATATTATGGATATTTGGTGAACTTGGAGAAGTAACAAATGATGTTGCTGAAAAAGCTCGTATTGTCAATGAAACAGCTGAACTTTTAAAACACGAAGAGTCTCACAGAGTTAAGAGTCAAGGTTTAGCAGCTTTGTTAAAATTAGGAGATTACCAAAGGCATTTATAATAATATTTATCATTTATAGTGATTAATAAAATTATTATAACATAGAAATAATATGATCCTAATTTATAGAAATTTGGTATTACTTCTTGCACGTGAACATTTACAAGATACATGGCACGGCGTACAAACACGATGTCTTTCTATAATAGGAAGATATTTGACAGCTAATGCTAGCGATGATACACTTATTTTTGTTGGAAATTATGCTCAATCACAAGATCCAAGAGTTCGTGCACAAGCCTTTGAAACAATGGCAGAACTACATTCTCATAGAGGTTGTAGATTACCTGCTAGTTTCTTTGGAGAAGCATGCGCTGCTCTTCGCGATGACTATGAAATAGTTAGACGTGCTGTTCTCAAAATAATTTGGCTTCTTGGTATTGAATATCCTGAAAAGTAAGATATCATAAGTAATATAATTGTTTGAAATTTTATTAATTACTTTCCTTTTGTTTGCAGCATGGTCGTTGGCTTAGATGGGGAAGATGTACGTATGGTTGATTGTGCATTCTCTCAAATTTGTAGTTTGATGGGTGATTTGTCACCACGGGTTAGAGCTTCAGCTATGTCTTTATTAGGTTCCATGAAAGGTGTTTCACGACGTTATATTGAACAAGCACTAGATAAAAAACAAAAAGTAGTAGAAGTAGACAGTGCTGTTAGGCCTGAAGTGGAAGAAAAGAGTGGATCTTGTGGAGCATTTATTCATGGATTAGAAGATGAATTTTTAGAGGTAGATGAACATATAAAAAGTTTAATTTATATGTATATATTTTAGTTTAATTATTAATTTATTATTTATAAATCATTTTAGGTTCGAACAGCAGCCGTTGAAGCACTTTGTAAATTATCTTTAGAACAACCAAGTATAGCTAGAATTTCATTAGATTTTATGGTGGATATGTTTAATGATGAAATTCAAAATGTCAGATTAAGAGCGATAGAATCATTAAGAAAAATATCTGCTAGTGTAACTCTTAGAGAAGATCAATTGGAAACTATACTGGGTGCACTAGAAGATTTTTCAGGAGAAGTAAGAGAAGGTTTACACGCTACGTTAGCAGCTAGTCAACTTGCTACTAGAAATTGTCTTCACATGTGTGTCAATCGTCTGTTGGATAATTTAACACGTTATCCACAAGACAAAGAAAGTATTAGAGTATGTTTGGCATCACTGGGAGCTTCACATCCTTATCTTACTTTACCTTTAGTACCACAACTTCTTGGTCGACATCCTTTCTTTGATACACCAGAACCAGATGTCGATGAACCATCTTGTATCCTCTAATATAAACATAAATAACATCAAAATTCATTTAAATATTTTTATATGATCCTTAATATTTGTAATTAGATGCAAGTGTGTTAGTATTGATATTCAATGCAGCATTGCATTGTCCAAGTATGCATGCCTTATTTACAGAACACACTTCTAAACATTATCACTATTTACGCGACACAATGCCACATTTGGTGCCAAGATTACGTCCAGCAGTAACTAATGGTTCAGGAACAAACAAGGAAGATACCGCTAATGAGGAACGTAGAGATCGTAGAGGAAGAGAATTTTTAGAAAAAGTAGTAATGGGTATAGAAAATGCAAGACCAGGTGGTAGAGTAAATACTAAACTTTTAGAAACTGCAACTATTGATCTTGATCGTCTTGCGGAAATGGATAATCGAATGGAAGGTGCAGCACGTTTTACAGCCTTGTATATTCGCTGTTTGTTATTATTGAAATCAGTTTTGAAAGAGTTCTCTGTTTCTGCAACTACTTCAATATCAGCAAGTCCAATACCAAATACAAGTAACAATGTTTCTGCTCTACTTCAGCATACACAAAAGTATATATATGTGTTTTAATATTCTTTTTATAACTTTAATTAATTTATTTAAAAATTAATTTATCTCAATATTTTTTATTTCTTAATTAAACAGGCTGCAACGATTGTTTAGTGGATTAGGAGAGGCCGAAGTAACATTAGCTAATGATGTGTGGCTGAAGGCTTTAGCTGTAGAACTAGTTCGTGTTACAAGAAGTGCAACAGGCAGTGCTCTTCCATTGGCTCGTTATTTTTTATCAGAAGCAGATTCTTTGCCACAAGATACTTCCAAATTACCACCCTTTTCTAGGGCATTAGTTTTCCAAATTCCAAATTTAGCAGATGTAAAGCCAGGATCTTTGACACGACTTTTATTACCATTACTTCTTACACCTTCAATACAGGGTGAAGAAAGACTTCCAAGACCACCTATATCTACTAGATTTTGTCGTGCTATTATCGAAGAGCCTAGAGGAGATGCGGATGCTGCATTGAAGTTTACAGGGGGTCTATTACTAGGCATTCCTCTAACAGCTAAAATATTAAATTTGCGAGATCCTAGCATTTTAAGAGTTAAATTAAGACATCCAGATCAACAAGTGCAATTATTGTTACCTCGACAATCAGATTTGCGTATTCAGAACTCTGATCAGAATGATTACAGATTAAGAACTACTGTACTTTTATCACATCAAGTATGGATGGAAGCTTGCAATGTAGAAATATCATTAGCACTTCTTGTACCTTCAGCCACAGTATTTTCACATGCTCCCTTAGAAGATCCATGTGTTATAGATCTTTGTAAGCCAACTAAAGTTTCTATAGCACCAAAACCAATAAAGAGGGGAATATAACTTTATTTTTTTTTAATGATATTTTATTATGTAATCAATAAATATTTTACATGGAAATATTTTATTTCTTATAATATATTTAATTTATCTGTTATCTCTTTAACGTATAAGATAAAATAAAAGATTTTATTTTATTTAGTTTCTCTTTATTTTCCACAAATGTTGTGATGTTAAAATTAGCCTATGAAAATGAATTATTTTTATTGAATTAAAAGTAAATAAATCGTTTTTAATTGAAGTCTTTTTGTAATTAGATTTTTATAGAAAAATTATATGTAAGAAATAATTTTTACATTTGTCTCTATGTAATTATGTTTTATATTTAACTTTTATCGCCAATTAGAGAAAGAACTTCCCCTGAAACAACAAAATACGTACTTGTTTATGATGCATATCATTTCTAATTTTTATATTATATATTTTAATTAAATTATATGCATTCTGTATATATTCAATAATACTTACCCAGAAAATGCAGGTTTTTCAGGTTCTGGAGTCTTCTGAGCCAAACTACCGAAAGTTAGACCACCAGATTGATTAGCTAAAGATTCAAACGTACTGCTACCTGTTGTATTTCCAAATACAGTTGGCATATTGCTTCCAAGTGGCGAAGGACTTCCACCTATAGTAGGAGGACTTCCAAATCCTGATTACAAAATTATGTGTTATATTAATTGATTTAAATTACAGCAAGATCAACATCAATTAATATTTACCTCCTGGCGAAGTAGCACCAAATCCTGTTCCTCCAAATCCCATTGAACCGAAAACAGGTTTAGGTGATTCGAAAACTGGTGATGATCCAAATACAGATTTAGTACCAAAAGCAGGTGCTTGACCAAAGGCTGGTTGTGATCCTAATATAGATGGTGAACCATTTACTGGACTTCCAAATACAGAAGTTGATCCAGTAGTAGGAATATTACTGGCAGAATTTCCAAATAGAGAGGAAGATCCTGCATTAGCATTTCCTATTGTTGCTGAACTTCCAAATAAAGATCCAGAAGAAGGACTGGCAACCCCCGTTGAAGATGCAGCATTTGCATTAACACCGAATAAAGAATTTGAACCTGATGTTCCTCCGCCACCTCCAAATATTGAAGCTGCTGATTTTGCTGCATTATTCCCAAAGATTGATCCAGTTGAAGTTGAACCAAACGTAATAGAAGAATTTCCACCGAATATAGATGTATTTGTAGATGGTTGGGAAGTATTCCCTCCAAAAACTGAGGTTGTTGATTGAGTCGTAGATGCTTGAGCAGCATTTCCTCCAAAAACTGGGATTGTTGATTGAGTCGTAGATGGTTGAGCAGCATTTCCTCCAAAAACTGAGGT